GTCCGACAGCAAAAATTTAGGAAAGTAGTATAACCTTTCGGAAACTTCGGGAAAGCGTGGTAGGTTTGGATATCCTCGCTACACACTGGCTTTACATGCCCTCCCCCCCTTTTACCGGAAAACTTCATGATAAAGCTGGAGTGGGAAAATGTGGGAAATTGGTAGGTAATGCTGGGGGCGGAGGGGGGGGGAGTGGAGGGTGGGGGGGTCGTAACCGGAGACCCGCCCCATCGCATCTGCAGGAGCAAGGCTATAGCCTTATTTCGAAGGTGAAAAGATCTTCCTTCATATGCGGTCTGCTAATGTACTGGTGTATCTATCTGAAAGCTGGACCCACCCGCACATGTAATTCGGAAAGCAGTATTTGAAGTTTCTCAAACTTGCCTTCCATTTAGGTGGGGTCGTACTGAATCCTGCTTGTCAACGGGAGGAAGGGGGGGGGACGGGGCCGGTCCGTACTACACGCATCACTTCTACACAATCACGCATGCTGACCGCTGTTCCCTCTTACAGTCTACAGTTTGCTGAAGGAGGGTAATTTGACAAAACAGACTGCTAAAAAACCGACAATACTAATTGATATGATAGCAGTCTTGTCCCGTCGCTGAAAAGAAAAAAAGAAATACTGGATTGGTGACGTGGCCCTGCAACGCAGCAGCATTACCTCACGTACGCCCATCATTCGCAGCGAACGTCCCTTCGCAATTTTGTGAAATGTAAAAAAGTTTTCTTCGTGTGCAGTCAGTCTAATGTAACGGTGGTATTTTAGTTTGAAGCTGGAATCCACAAATCAGGTTTTATTCGAAAAAAGATATTGACAGTTTTCTAAGTTTCTCAAACCTGTCTCCAAACTCCTTCTCAGCCAGATGAGACACTTTTGGCAAACAGGGAAGCAGTCGAAGCAAACGATGCCTTGGTAGTGTCTGCATTGAGTTCTAACCTTGCTGGCGTAACTGTTGCTAAGCGGCATCCCACCATCCCAACGCATTTCTTGCAATAAGTTGGCCGCAGAACGCACCCCCGCAAAAAGTTTCGCCAAGGGTGTTTACATGTCACGGCGTCTTTTTTTCGGACGAAGCGGGGGGGGGGTGGGGGGGGACATATTTGCCATTGTAATTGCTTGCCCTGGTTCCGTTCTACAAATCCACTCCGGTAAAACTTGTGAAACGCCTGTGAAGGTGGAGCAAGATCGTCTAGCCATCCATCCTAAAACGTGTCAACTCGAAAAAGGGTACCTAGATGGGTTGGCAAACTATGAAAAGCAGAATGCCCCCTCCCCCTGGTCGATAAAGCAGCGCCCGTTCGGTGCACTACAAAACACAGCACATACAGCTATGAAAAAAAAACTTGGAACAAGCCACAAATCGCGTTTTGAACAGTTCCAAGCTCTTGTTCACAAGCAATACAGTGGAAAAGTAGAAGATAGCGGGAATTCACAAGAAGAACTATACAGAGCTCCGATTTTGGTTTGCTTACTATTGACCTGATTAAGAGCCTTCAATCATCGCGTGAATGACGCATAAAGGAGCTTTATCCACTGGATATTCACCACCAAATTTCACTCGTGTTGATGGTCTTCTTTCCTTTAACTCATGCTTAGTCATCTTAAAGGTGCCCGATGGGGTTGAGGTGAGGGCTTTTACTCGGTCATTCTGTCATCTGGATACTGGCGTTGGGTGCCAGTGAAACTAGAACTACATCACACGCTCACCTTCTGCGTTTACTAAGGGTGTTTTTACTTACACTAAAACAGTTCTTCTAGGCATATGTCATCTACATCCACAATATTTCGGTACACAAGTCAAGGAAAATTAACTAATTTGATGGAAATTTCCGACTTTTTCTGGCTGGTTTGCAGCTTTTTTTTTCGCAGCTGTACAATGGGGTTCAACTGCAAAGATGTATATGCCCAAGCCAATGAAGGAGCGAAGAAAAGTGAAAAAGTCGTCGAAAGCACATGTGATAAGACCAGTGATGCTTCAAGCACTGCACTTGCATTTGACGATGAAAGTGCGCGTTTCGATGAGTTTTCATTGATTGCTATCTCAAATACGTTCGCTCTTCTCCTCTGTCGCATCACTTTGATCATTGAGGTTCTTAAGACTTGTTCATTTACCTCACTTAATCAAAAGCCTCCAGTAGCAGGATGACAAATGTACGGCTATGGGACCGACGGCAGACGCAAATCATGATCCTGTAGCGCCCCGATGCACAATTTCGCGCCGCGGAATGAGCGCTACATCTACACTGCGTCCCATAAGTATAGTTCCACCCATAAATCTCACAATATCCCGCCCTACACGACGTTTTCAAAAAAGCCTCTAGATAGAAAATGTGGTAATTACCAGTGCCAATTTGCATGCCAACACCATGATTTTCCAGAGCAACTTCAATTTTCTTCATTTTTTGAAAATTTCTCACTCTGACAATGTCCCAAAAGTATAGTTCCACCGCATATTTTCCCACTGCGTCTCATTTTTTTCGGGTAAAACTGTCTCATCATCATTACTTTTCACCTTTTCCAGGTTATGGCGAGAGGACATTCATTGTCGGACTTCGAAAAAGGGCAGATTATCGCAAAGAAGGCTCAAGGACTGTCGAACCGTCAAATCGCAAGGGAGTTGGGCCGCAGTCATCATGTTATCAATAATTTTGTCAGGGAACCCGCAGGATATGGAATCAAGAAGAGCTCTGGGCGTCCTCCTTTGCTCTCTGATCGGGAAAAGCGCCGTACTTTGAGAGAAGCATCAAATTCTACAGTGTCGTGCCGGTAAGTAAAGTCAACTTTGAAGCTTAACGTCTCGAAGGAAACTGTTCGGCGTGTCTTAAAAAAAGTCCGAGTTCATTCTCAGGAGGAAAATGAGGAAGGCACCGTTCCTGACAGAACACCATCGCGAAAACCGAACTGCCTTCGCTAGAAGATGCTGCCGAACCGAATGGAGTACGGTTAGCTTATGGCAGTGGTGCCCTACTGCTTGTCTGTCTTGTCTTTTCAGTTTTTTCCTCCAGGTCGTGTTTTCTGATGAGAAAAATTCAACTGCGATGGTCCAGACGGAAATCGATCCAACTGGCACAATGTTAGGAAAGAGAAGCTCCATTTTCCAAGGCGGAACTTCAGAGGCGGTGGTATCATGTCTGGGCTGCCTTCACATCAACGGGACGTCTAAAAATGTGCTTCGTATCGAAAAAAAAATGAGTTCTTCCGACTATGTAAACGTAATGCGACGAGGTCTGCTTCCTTTCTGGCGAAGGATTCGGCATGAAAGTCCTGTTTTCGTGCAAGACAATGCACCAATTCATGTCAGCCGAAGCACTCGAGCGTGGTTCAGTCGTCATCAAATCTTTCTTTTGCTCTTGTGCAGCGAATAGCTGCTTTAAAGACACATAGTACGCTCATACACATTGAGGGTGTATGAGACTATCAGCCCCCCAGATGTCGATGTGTCGTGGTCCCCCCGCCCAAACATGCCCAGGAATGGAGATACAGGGCCGTGAAACACGCTAATTCTTCCATGCTCCGCCCACTGCCTTTTTACGGCGCAGATTCCCGCCGTTCATAACATCCGTTGCAAGCGCGCCTGTCGCGTGCGGCTCCTTGGCACTTTGCCAAGTCCTTTAATTGCGCTCTCAAATACAAGTAAAACGCAATTTCCTGATGCGGATAACATTGGAGGTGCTACAAAATAAGAGCAGAAGATGATGACAAGGGGCAGAACTCAAGAGCAACTCGGCTGCATCTGCAGTATCCATCAAGGGCCGCGCATTCCCACAAAACATGAAAATAAAAACAGCCCAAGCGTCCCACTCGTTTGTTCTAAGTATTTCTATGGCTTTGGCGCCGGATCGTAGAAATTTACAGGCCAGTTTATCTAATTTGCCTTTCCTTGATTTTTTCATTTTTGTTTTGTTTACATTTACATCGTTGTGCTTCATTTCTAGCCTGTGTCATCTTCATCTCCTTGTACATGGATTTTGAAGCATGAGCAACACCTAAATTTTATTCGCATCAGGAAATTGCGTCTTGCTTGTATTAAACTAACGAGTTTTAGTTTTTATTTTCATGTTTCGTGGAAATACGTGGCCTCCGAGGGATGTTGCAGAAGTGGCACAGTTGCTTTTAGGTTCTGACCCTCGTCATCATCTTCTGCTCTTATTTTGTAGCACCTCCAATGTTATCCGCATCAGGAAATTGCGTTTTACTCGTATTTGAGAGCGCAATTAAAGGACTTGGCAAAGTGCCAAGGAGCCGCACGCGACAGGCGCGCTTGCAACGGATGTTATGAACGGCGGGAATCTGCGCCGTAAAAAGGCAGTGGGCGGAGCATGGAGGAATTAGCGTGTTTCACGGCCCTGTATCTCCATTCCTGGGCATGTTTGGGCGGGCGGACCACGACACATCGACATCTGGGGGGCTGATAGTCTCATACACCCTCAATGTGTATGAGCGATCCTTCCGGTCTTTAAACCCAATCGAGAATGTGTGGGGCTTCATGATACGCAAGATCTATGCGAACAATGCACGATTCCACGATGTCCGTCAGCTTAAGGAGTCAATCATTGATGGTTGAGCAGGTTGACCGAAAACTTATTTGAAAATCTCTAATCGAGCAAGGCATTTTCCAACTTATTCGGAGAAATGGAGCTCCAATAGATTACTGAATTACAAATCTACTCTTTTATTGTACACTTGTTGTTGGATGATCGATTTGTTTGGTGGAACTATACTTTTGGGACATTGTCAAAGTGAGAAATTTTCAAAAAATAAAGAAAATTGAAGTTGCTCTGGAAAGTTAGTTCTCGGTGTTGGCATGCAAACTGGCACTGGTAATTACCACATTTTCTATCTGAAGGCTTTTTCGAAAACGTCGTGTAGGGCGGGATATTGTGAGATTTATGGGTGGAACTATACTTATGGGACGCAGTGTAATGTTTGGCTCTCGGTTACCTCATACTTTAATCAGTTCTTCAACTTAACTGACTGATAAATATCTCTTCGAAGATTAAGATAATACCTTATCATCAATCGTGTCGAATTTCGTCAGAACTATGCCGTCAATCAGACGAGGTGGTGTGCCTGGGGTGGCGTTGTCAGCAAGAGCCTACAAGTAGCAGTTGAACAGCATGAAAACAGATAAAAACTATAATATAATCTCTAACAGCTTTCAGAAAATCAATGTTACCATTTCAATATTGAGCTTGGCACATCTCATACACTAAACTCACTTGATTGAACTTAACCAGCTGATCCACAGCTTCGTTTCCAACAAGGGCTTCTCCCACAAATAAGACCAAATCTGGTTCGTTCACTCTTATGAGCTGAAAACAGAAGCTTTACATCAACACATTCTACCAAGACATCAAAAACAGTCACGCTACCTTTGCCAGTTCCCTCATCAATGGTTCGTTATCCTGCATTCGACCAGCAGTATCCACTAAGACGACGTCGATGCCACGCTCGGCAGCAATTCCAATCGCAGCGGCTGCTAGACCGGCCGAATCCTTTCCGTATCCTTGTTCGTAGAGCTATAAAAGCACTAATGGTGGTCTTATAAGGAACAGTAACAGTGTCTATGCGAACAAATCATGGCTTTACGAGGGATCTCCCAAGCTGAAAGGACCATTTCTGATGAGAACTATACCACCAGATGCAACTTTTAGCACCTCTTTCAAAATCTGCCGAGCTTGTGAGAGAAGAGTTTTCGTGCCAGAAAAGTCACATTCGTGTTCGGGGGCTTGAGTTACTCCCAGAAGCAACTCTCTGGCCAAGCTCATTATTCTGCCCTAATTTCGAAAGAAAGCTCATCAGTCTGGACTATCTGCAGACAGTTCAAAGGAAGTTGGGAATTTCCGATCAAGTACAAGTACAAGTACAGGACACACACACACCCACACACACACCACACACACACACTACACACAGAGAGAGAGAGAAAGGAGAGAGAGAGAGATAAACTTGACCCGTATGCCGGACCTAAGCCACTAGTCCTGGGGCTATCTATATATTGCAACTTAATCATGGGACCGAAATCACTTCTTGAGCGCTTTTTTGATAGAAAGTAGTATTTGGCTCACGCGTTCGCGTCATCCCCAGGAGCTGAATGTAGTCATTACGATGGGTAGCTTTTCGTCTGTCATCCTGCGGACACAGTGCACCCTCTCTGAAGTATCTTTGAGATCTATGAGATCATCTACCTTCAATTTCGTCCCTGCTTCATGTATTTTGATAACTAGAAACGAATCACATCCGAAGACCAGTCCTCGGTGGTCATATTCTAGATATTCGTTCATGTTAGGACCACCGGCGGCCGTCATTCACCCATTCTTTTTGACGTTACGGTCGTACTTTGAAGTTGGTAAGAAATTGGCTTCTAGAGGTAAATATGCTCCTCGAACAAGAACATTGGCATCTCGTCTGCCACCGAACCTTTGTGTAAGGCGCCAGCTCTTTTCAACCAGAAGCTGTCCAAGCTGCTGAGAACTGCTCGCAAATCACTTTTATAGGAAAGCATAGGTGAGCACGTTGAAACCCAGCTAGGAACCGATCCTAGGATCAGCTAACTGTAAGACAGACAACCACCAATGCACATGCCACTACGTAGAAGCTCCTCCACACACTAAAGATAAACGCATTTCCATGAGGCGAAATGCAGAACAACTTGAGGGACAAAGCCTTCATAACACCGTTCAAAAAAAGCTCATCAGTTTTCAAGGCAGATTTGAGATATTGTTAGAAAATACAGTCGTCATCCTTGCACTTGATAGTCAATGTCAGTGCGGCTGCGTGCGGCGCGGTCGTCAGCACCCGTACTGCACCAATCGTTGAACCAGAGAGTGACATTACTGTATTATATCCTTCGTGTTACTCGTTTTCTATCACTTTTTGTCGCATACGCGTTTCAACGAAAAGGCTGAGAAGGCTTCAAACAGTGTGCACGCTCCTTCTCGCCGACACGTCCCCTAGGCAGATTTGAGATATTGTTAGAAAATACATGTGCTGGTATTGGTTTCATCACAATAACCACTTCGACTTGGGGTTCTTCCCTAACCAGAGAAGCCACCAGTTCCAAGCGTCAACTCAACTTTCGCTTAACGAGTGCACAAAATACACCATCCAGTGGCACTCAACTGCCGTCCGTATTTCAAAAACGAACCCAAGCAAAGAGAAGCATTGGAGTCGAAAAATAAAAATTGAAGATGTGGGTGAGGGGGAGGGGGAACAGTGTAGCCTACTGTTCTCCAAGGTTAAACAAAATCAAAGTCTGAGCATACTACAAACCTGAACTGAATTAGGGTGGAGAGCATTCAGATGTTTTGTATGTGTACGTAGCTGCTCAACAGCTCCAGCACGGAAGGTATCACCGGCAGCAATCAACACACGGTGATTATTCTCGTTGAGCCAAAACGTGATCTTAATAATATAACATGTTATCGCTCAATCATTATAGCAAAAAAAGACAAACAAACGAACCTTAGCCAAGTTTGTACTCTTTCCTACTCCATTTACTCCACAAAAAACTACAACATAAGGGCGACCTTCACGTTTTGCCTCAACAATATCTCGCAAGATATCAACGCGACGCTTGGGTGTTAGCAGCTAAACGAATTGGTATCATAAGAGCTCTGGAAAACCGTGTACCAAAAAGCTCTCCCAGTATATAGAAGGAGCATCGCTAAAAATGCACAACCTGAGTAAGAGACTCGCGGACAGCTTCTTTCACTTCCGAACTGACTCGACTAAAGGTGCTCACAACTTTGCCCTCCAACTTGCGCGCAACAGATTGGCATATCTTGTCGGCTGGCTCAGCAGCAACGTTTTTAACTGAAGTACACTGATCAGCTTGCAGTTGAAGTCCGAAGCAAAAAAAAACCATCAGGCAACTCACGTATAAGATTTTCGCGCATCGTCTCCAATACTGGTTCAATATCCTCAGCAGAAATCTGTTTATTACCTACCAAGTTTTTGAAGGCACCGAACCACGAACTCTTCGTTTGTGCTGCCGCGACAATCCTAAAAAAGGCCATAAATAGCAAGGGCAGGTGTTCTCATATATAGCAGCTCAGATAAATCGAGAGTGTGTCAGAATATGGCAAATTACTGCTGTTACGTCTAACAGCTTCCACTATGAAATAGAATTAGGGTAATTGACCATTTCAACGCGCCACCGTACATCCCAAAGTACATTAGAGCAAAGTAAATTCATCGGCTCGCTCGCTGCGGTTGATGGGGCGTGTCAGATGTGGGTTTGGCTCTGTGTCAAACTCGTTTTCCACAGTTTGTTGGAGCGAGCAAGCGACAAGTCTGAATTATAGTGCTCGTATCAATCGTTTTCCTCCAAGACCTGTCGCTTGTTGCCTACCCCCATCAACAACTGGCGTAGAAATGGCTTGGAGCTGCGCCAAACCCTTGCCGCTTAACATGCCCCTTCATCAGCATCGAACAAAAGTGCAGATGCGGTGTAAGTAACCTCAGTAACACAGCATGCACCCACACCCTTGACCCTTGGCAATGCTGTAAAAAATGCGGAAAAAATATGTGCAAGCTTCAAAAAAATGACCTGTCGGTATAAAAGTCACGGAAGGATTTTTACAACACGAACAAAAGAAGATGAGGAGAGAAAGACAATATCACTCACTCTTCTGCTTCGTCCTCCTCCCCGTCCGAGAATCCCTGAAGTTGAGCAGACCGACCGACATACTTACGCTAAACAGAGACATTGCCAAAGCGGTTGAGAAAGACAAAAAAGGGAATTCAATGAACAAACATAATAGGAGTTTCAGTTTAATTCACATCAGGAGAACAGCTGGAACAGTTTCATTTCGAAAAAATGTACGCAGCGAACGCAAGTTTCCAGAGGATCATATGAGTGCAACTACCCCTGGTAATGGGTCTGCGCGTATGCTTCACCCGCTTTCATATGAATGTGATACGAAGAGAATATTATTTTTGAGGGAAACTACCAAAGGTAACTGACACGGATAGTGTGGAAGAAATAAATAGCGCTGAAGGCCAACGCTGCCCTACTGCCAAAGATACACAAATTTTACGCTGTTTTTTGCGCATTTGAATAGGTTAGCTACTATCAGGATTGCGTGGCATAGTCCTCTCTCCCCTCGCTCTCACCCCCTATTGCCATTGGATGTGCGAAAGATTACGCCACTGCTCAACTCAGCTGCTCAGAATTGACTAGTCACGGGCACGAATTGGAAGTTACACTGGAAGTACACATCAAACCAACCTGCTCATTGATGAATGCAAGATCCTCATCTCCACGAGCATTGGCTTGCTCCTTAATTAATACAAATTTGGATTAGTAGAATAGAATCGAAGCTTCAGGCGTTGGTCCAATTTAGTGAGGTGCTGTTGCGCCAATATCTGGCGCAATAGCTCACGAAGAACTAACTGAGAGCAGAAAGCAAAGAAATACTGACTACATATACTGGCCAGCCCCGAAGTTCACATAAAAAGTCTATTAGTCAGTAGAAGTAAGATAAAACTGCACAAACCTTGTCTTTATCACCAGAATAATCGAGGTTCGTATTGTTCTTCACGTCACCTGATAGCTCCCAAACACGTGCTTGCTTTCCTTTTTTCTTGGGCTCCGTTTCTGGAGTTCTGAATACAAAGCACACACTAATTGATTGAATTTCAACATATAACTTGAATAGACCACAGGTTGAATCGAAAATAGGCTTACGGCCATTCGACATAAAGCATACTTCGATGCAGCTGGTTTCTTTGCGTTCATCTTTCTTAGCAGCACTTCTCTTCGCTTCGCTATCTCATCACTTGGAGAACCCGGAGTGGAACCGATGTCGCTGCCAGAGTCAGTTGATCCACTGTAACCAATTCGATAATGATGATCTGAGGACACAGCCCTCACCCTTTAGCTTTATTGCTTGCCTCTTGCACACAAGGATACGCTCCTCTCCATGGGTCATGGTTCTTACCGAGAGTGAGAGAATGGGTCCGCAATAGCGGTATTGCCACTTTCTCCGTTCAAAAGGATACGGGGAACGGGGCTGGATGGAAGTGATACCCTGCTGACGACTCCATACTCCGCTTGGCTTTGCCGCATGACCAGCCAGGCGCCTAACCGTAACCAAACCATACGCTCCTCTTGTCTGCACTCTCTCACCTACGGTTGTTCTTTAATGCTGAGAACGTGTTTCGTTGCTGGTCTGTAGCATAGACGCAAATGCTGCACAGCATAGAGCGGAGTATGGAGAGAGCGTTCGAGCATCAACAATCCCGTTCCCGTGCGCTTCTAAGAGACCTGAGAAGAGCAGAGAAAGTGGCACGCTGCTGCAGCTGCGGGTCCATTCCCCTCAAACAGCAAGGACCGTTCCGGAGGTGAGGGCACAGTTGCCTTCGAAATAGTGGAGATAGCCCGTTCGTCACGCAGAATTGGTCATTGATGGATGATGCAGAATGGCTAAGGTCCCATTCAGAGATCCCGCTCCTACAGCAAGGATGTGGAGGAAGCCTCTCATTGTTGTCACTGGGAATCAGAACTCAATCAAAACTCAGTAGGCCATCATACACAATGCATCAATGGCAGACACGTGTTACACTCAGCACAACGAAATAAACCACTTTTGCAAGTTGCTAGCGACCAACGCCATAGATACGCATCCACTCCTTTGACCGCAATCGCCGGAAAGTTGAGTCCCCCGAATCGCCGGGTCGTTCAATCTTCGTAATCGCCAGATCGATACCCATACTTTCCTCGTAGCGCATTCTCTCATATCATCATTTCTCCTCACTAGCAGAGCATGAAGGCGGCCTTGCGGCTCAACAGTTTCGTCATACACAACGTACAGGACAACTTCTTCTGCTGCAGCTTTCTTCGGAGCTCCTCCTGCCTTCTTTGTCTTCTTCTCATCTCCTGGACGACTGATGATCATTGAATCGACAGTCTTTTGCGATTTCACACTCTCCTACAAAATAATACAAATCTTATGGTCAGCACTGCATCAAAACTACTTTGGTGAAAATCTTAATTGGCAAAAAA